TGGAGAGAACTCAAGGAGCGGAAGGCCTGCGATCGGATGCCGAGGTTGCTTTGTTTCTTCTCGATAGATGAGTAACACAGTGTCTGCGACGCAACAGCTAAAGTCTGTCTAGTACACTGGACGCGACAAAGCGACTGTTGAAAATCATTTGAAATTTGTGCCAATACGTCATAAATGGAACGCAGCAGCAGTTTTCTGTCAGGGATTTGTCGTGTCGTGTCGTGCGGCATCCAGTGTAGACCATAGATAAGTATATATATCTGGTGTAGACAGCATCACTGATTATAATGAGTTCTATAGTATTTTGTCACGCCGCGCCACTCGCGTCCGGTGTAGGCACGGTGTAACATTAGTTCTGTGAAACAAAGCAAAACCAATCGTTGCCTGGGTTGCGTACGTATGTGTGGGGCGGAGCTATCAAAATAGGGGCGAGACCCTTTTGGGGTAGGGGCGTGTTTGTTTTGGTGATTTCAAATGTCAACATTGGCTACCAGAAATCGCTTACCCCACCTTTAAACTCTGATTAGTGTAACATGTCCCATTGAAGTTATGAAGATGTGGTATAGCCCAATATTCATTAAATTAAAAGAGGATCATTACATGCAGATTGGGTTACATTAATTAATGATTCAGTCATTAAACATGCATTGCACATGTGGGTTATGACACCAGATGGCATGATTCAAACCGTGGTTGTGCCAAGCACTACATCTTATTTCACATAGCTGTGCAGCAGCTATAGTAATTTGATAGCCTACTTTTTGATAGAAAAGTATTAATTTGACTGATTATTCACTATATGAATTAATGCATGTTTTTGAGGCAGTTGTACTTGCATCAAGCCGCAGGACACCCAAAGGTGACCAACTAGTGAATGTTTACATAAATCAACAATAAAAAAAACACACATACAGACAGTGTTGTATGATTCACCAATTCAACGTATGAAATAAAGTGCTTCGATGCTGTAGATAAAAAGTATTTGCAAAAGGAATATATGCAAATGGAATATATTCAGTCCATCCTATATATACATCCCTTCACCTGACATTTTGGTGTATAATGCAATCACATTCAGACACGTCTGAATCTATTGTCAAAATAGTTTTGGATGCCACTGTATGTATAAGTAGTTTTTAGATTCATTCTTTCTAAAGTGATCTTATGTGCTTGTGTACCTAAAATAACTTGTAGCATAAAGTGTTTTATGGGTACTAAGACAGGCAATAATTTTAACATCTTACCTTAGTATAAGATATAATCTGTGGTAGTTGCCTTGAAAATGATGGTCTAAGAGATGGACCCTGCACAGGCAAAAAAAAAAAAAAAAAGTTTTACTATTCACATATTTCATGTTACAAACTCGTGAAAAAGACAATCTCCAAATTAAATGTCTAAAAACACTTTGGGAGGATTCAAACCATGTATTTTATGGTACTGGTAGTCCATTTCTGTAAGCAATGGAATGGAGAGAATTCATGTGTTGATGCTATGGTTGTGTGAGACGGCTCAAACACTGATTATTTATAGTGCACACATGCTCAGTGCTTTATAAATAACATGTAACAATATACAGCAGTGGGCAAAGGCAAAACGTCTCAATAGAATAACTGACTTTTTAAATAGTCCTCCACAACTCTTCATATTACACTGTAAAAATCCTTATCACAAAGGTTGAAAATAAGGCAAGTATTAAATCACATATTAATCTCTCAACTAACACTATGTTGTGTTTTGTGTTAAAGGGGTCATATGACGTTGCTAAAAAAAGAACATAATTTTGTGTATTTGGTGTAATGAAATGTGTTTCTGGCTTAAGTTTCAAAAAACATTATTTTCCACATACTGTATATTATAGCTGCTCCTCAAAGTTTTTACAAAGGTCATCGGTCTGAAAAGCGAGGTGTGCTCTGATTGGCCAGCTATCCAGTGCTTTGTGATTGGCTGAATACCTCAAGCGTGTGACGGAAATGTTACGCCCCTCACATACTGTTGATGCCCTGTCCGGCCGGAGTGACGAGACATAAACATGAAAACCCATTACAAACGAGGCATTTGTTGCATCCAGTGGGGACATAATTACTGATTATAATGACTTATACTGTCTTTTTACGTGTTGCGTTGCATCGCGCCGCGTAAACATAAAACCATGTCTGCATTTGTGATCGGAGAAACGACAAACAACAAGCCCTACTCTACACTGCTCAAAACTCGCGTTTGAATCGTCAGTGGCAAATCCTTTAAATGAAAACGTACTTACAGTCTGTGAGTCAGAACAGCCGGCATTGTAGGCTACTGGTTCAACCCAAAGTGGGCTCGTAAGGTACAAGTGTTAAAACCAATTATGTGGCATAAAAACCCATTATGAGTGTTTAATGTAAAAGCATTCCATTTCTTAGACATTTCAGGGCTCGACAATAAGTCAAAGTCAAAGATGCTCAGGACGATCGGGCCACTTCTACGTCATCACAAAAAAATAGCATCTGCATGTGTTTTAAGCCTTGCCAATTAAAAAATTCAAAGCGATTTTAAAGAATTCAAGCAAGACGTTAAACAAAACTACATTCAGTGCTCGTGTGTACAGTGCGCATTCTTGCACTTATGCCGAGTTCACACTGCACGATTTTAGCCCGATTTTTCACTCGCCGACAGGTTTTGCGAAATCGCCGACAAACGCCCGACATCGGAGGCAAATCGGTGCTCGTTCACGCGAGTGACAATCACGCAGTGTGAATTATCAAAGACGTGATCTGGCCGATCCATCGTGCAATGTGAACACAGCAGCAACTGAATGCTACCCAGATAGTCACGCAGTGTGAAAACAACGGCGATCCGACGAGTTTGAAAATCGTGCAGTGTGAACTCGGCATTAGTAGCTTTAACAAATATTAATTGCTAATTATTATTAGCTTTAACAATGCTATGTTTTCAGTAGTAACCAAGGTAATGCTGTAGTATTGCTGTGCCATAAGCGCCACCTGCTGGCAGACAGTGAATTTGCGTCTCATCCGCTGTTCTTCCTAAAGCATCATTTAATTTGTATCATATGTTCTATACAGTTATGCTATTGCTTGTAATTTGTGTATTTGTTCTTATTTACTGCCTAATCGGGGTCAGAAACAATGACAGTGTTGCTCGCTGCACTGTTTGCAACAGTGACTTTTCTATTGCCCACGGTGGGTTAAATGACTGTAAAAGACACGTTGAGGTAACTTCAGGTCCGTTCATTAGCAGAGCTAGCATTATTTAAACTAGTTTACATTATTTTACTGATGTTCTACAACGTGATGAGGCAAAAGTCTCTGCACACTTGTTTAAAACTGTAATTAAATATATTATTATCAATCTACTCACTCAGACTGCTATGACTTTGAGCCATCCAGTAAAATGCTCAAATATGCAAAGCAAGCCACATCACAGTACAAGGAAAGTTTGTAAATGAACTGTATGCATAAAAGATGTATTACCATTTAATTTAGCCATTTGAGACAAGACACACATTACTGAAGTAATGAATGTATGTATGTATGTGTGTACTGTAAAAAATTAAAATATCAAGAAAAGGCAAGAAAAATGGTCACGCGCCCAGCACATGGTCTAAAAGGGTTTATATTCTCTTAATGAGTCATGGGTGTGTTTTGGGCGTAACGTGCAATAAACCAATCAGAGACTCATCTCCCATTACCTTTAAAAGGCAGTTGCACTCGCACCATGGTGGATTCGCTATTTACAAGTTTCGCTATTTAAGTCGTGTTTAACTGTAACTTAAGCAGCTCCAGGCACGTGAACAAAAGCGCCAATCTCATTGGTCGACCAGTTTTTAACTCGGCACGTCAAACCAAAAAAAAACGAGCCAGAGGCGGTTTTTTAAAAAATGACGCTTTTATGCCTCGTGGTGTGCACTCACATTGGCGCCCTTTGTTTAGTCACGAGGCGTTAAACGTCGGCGATAATCGCGCGCGATATTCATCCCGGTGTGAACAAGCCTTTACATTTTAATCCTTCAATTTTTAATACTAAAAATGTTTGTGTACTGCTGCGCGTCCGTGTGTGTAATAAGCAACGTGTATGCGCGTTGTGGACTTGCCTATAGGCGCATATTACTAACGTGGTCTTTAAATAACAAAAAAAAAATGTGTTGGTCAATGGCGCAGTCTATTTCAGTTGCCTCAGAATAGCAACGTGCCAACAATGCGACTGAACAGACCAGCACGCCCATTGGTGCACAAATGGGTGCACAAATGGGTGCAAATGCATTTGCTATTTAAACAAGATTGCGCAGGATGTGAAAATGATAACTGTGTCGGGCTGAAACTAGCAAAAAAAAGTTTACGATTTCTCTGGCTCATCTCCTCTTTTTCTCTCTATCACAGTTTCTTCATATCAACTTTATATGTGATCCTGGACCACAAAAAGGCAAATTTTTTTGATTGTCTGAGGCCCTGTCCACACGAATGCGGTTATTTTTAAAAGCGCAGCTTTTTCTATGCGGTTTGTCCGTTCGTTCACACGCAAACGCAGCACCAGGTCACTGAAACCGAACATTTTTGAAAACGCCTGCCAGGGTGAAGATTTTCAAAAACTCCGGTTGCAGTGTTGTCATGTAGACAGCGAAAACCGGAGTTTTTGGCTTGTGACGTCAGAGCATGCGCTGTTATCTCCGCCTACTGGAGACTTTTTCAGGCTTCTGATTGGTCAACATGGCTTTACGGTTGAGATTATATCGCCACCTGTTGGTTTGGCATGCTCTTGACAGTGCTTCATAGCATGCATTTGCGTTTTCATGTGGACGGAGATTTTTTTAAAAACGGATGAAGGAAAAACTCTGTTTACAAAAATACCCATGAAAGTGTGGACATGGCCTGAAAGCTGAATAAATAAGCTTTGCTCTGAGGGAGCAAAAAAAAAAATCTAAATATTGAAAAAAAAATCACCTTTAAAATTGTCCAAATGATGTTCTTAGCAATCCATATTACTAATCAAATCATATTTCTCTGTCAGTGCAGCAGGTTTGTGAGACTTACCTTCATTTTTAGGCCCTATAGCCCATAGTTGCTTAAGTAATATGTACTAAGGACTTTTTTCAGAGAACCTATACGGTCACTACAATGAAAATGATGAAAGTGGGAAAATGAATGACACACACACACATACTGGTTTCCATTTTTTGTGGGGACCTTCCATGGGCGCAATAGTTTTTCTACAGTACAAACTGTATTTTTATCCCCTTACCCTAACCCTACATTTAAACCTACCCATCACACAAAACTTTCTGCTATTTTAGATTTTCAAAAAACATAATTCTGTATGAATACATGTTGTTTTCTAATGAGGACCAAAAAAAAAAAAAGTCGAGGTAAAAGTCAAGTCCCACAAGGTCAAAATTTACTGGTATTACTATACTTGTGGGAACATACCAGGTGCACACACACACACACCAGTTAGTTCCGGTCCTCAAATCTGACTGTCGAAAAGGTCTTCCAGGATAACGTATTAAAATTATCTCATTTAATGCACCCACCCTAACCTGTACGTCACCGTAAATTGATGCAGTTGCTGATGAACATGCAGTTGCAGGATGATAACTGACTGCATGATTTAGCCTATTAAAATGCAGTTATATGCCCCTAAAATTCAAGATATGAGAGCAAAAATGGCCCTGTATGGGTTTTTATCTTATATATTAATGTTGTTGTTTTCCTGAATATCTGCACAATTGATTATATTGTATAAGTTCAATAAACTATAAATTAATATTAAGTTTTATAAACAATATTGTCAGCTTTTGCTCAATTTCACAAACTAAAATAAAACCAGAGCAGAAATGTTGGCTGTCCGAGCAACACACTGTGGCGTTTCATTAATGAATTAAACAATTTTTTTTAACAAATCTAATGAGCCAATGATTCATAAAGACAGATTTATCCCATTTGGGACACAGCGTCTATCTATGTAGGGCACTTCAGAGTGAGAAAAGTCATGGCCGCTAGGGCTGGGACAATAAATCGATGTATCGCGTTCCGTGGATTGATTCTGAGATTATCGGAATGCATCGTGATTCTCTCTCGATTCGATTCGGAGCTTAGTTTTTAACAGCAGAGAATCGCGATGCCTTCGGAAATTCTCAGAATCGATGCAGAATCATTTCTCGATTCACGATGCATCGATTTATTATCCCAGCCCTAATGGCCGCCATAATGAAGGGTCATTCCAAACCAAAGGGCCCTTTAGAATGAAGGATTCTGAAAGGTACACCTGATGGACACAACTCCCATGATTCTTTGCGCAGATTTAATTGTGTGATGATGGCCCCTCCTTAAAGGGTTAGTTAACCCAATTACTCACCCACATGTCGTTCCAAACCCATAAGACCTTCGTTCATCTTCAGAACACAAATTAAGATATTTTGATGAAATCTGAGAGCTTTCTGACCCTCCATAGAAAGCAAGGGTACTACCACGATCAAGGTACAGACACGTAGTAAGGACATCGTTAAAGGAGGCGGTCATATGCGAATGTATTTGCCCATGTGATGTCACAAATCCCCAACATCCAAACAAGCCATTTTCAGAGCTTGCTTAAATGAACGCTTTGTTTATAATGAGGACATTTTAAGCTATGAAACTTGAAGGATGTTTTAATGGTACAAAGACTTCTTGATTTCTCATGTCATGACTGCTTTAAAATGTCCTCCTCATGATAAAAAAAAAAAACTTGCCATCAGTCGCTTAACAGTATGAGCATTGCATCAAAAGCAAATAGAGTCCATTATAATCACTGACACCTGTCTACACTGGATACAGTGATCAGATGCCAGTTCAATTTCTTTCAAATTCACAGTGCAACAGAGAGTTCGCAAAGAAACGTTTGTTGAAAGAGCCAGCTGTATTGGACCTGACAGCAGCTGTGTCACAAACCTTAAGTAAACAATTTTATAAAGCTCTGTCTGTTAATGATGTCTTTATATAGATATATTTTTTTAAAACACTTACTCACGTGGAAAAGCGAGGGGGTGTTATTTCTATTTCATATGCAATGGCATTAGCCAATCATAACTGCTGTTTACTGACAAGCCTGTGTGTGTATTGAAAAGCAGATAAAATATTTTATGATTCAGTTATTGATAGCATTTTTACATGTTTGATCGCTCATAAAGCATTGCGCATTACTGTAGTGCTTAGGCTTATTATATGCTCCACTTTCCCTTCATATGCGTATCTAAATCTTGGTGTAGTATGGTAAAAACTACAACCAGAGATCAACACGTGCAAAGCATGCAAGATTGAATAAAGAAATGCACATGTTAAATTAAGAATGATCATCCTGCCAAGTTCAAATTTCTGAATTATCATCCATAAATGTATCAATTTTCAACAAAGTAAATTTTTGGAGAATTTACACTGACTGCTGTAAACATTGCTTATGTTAAATAAGAGACAATGTGTAATCAGCCGGTTATTGTCACAAAAAACCTGATAGTGTGCAGCAATATTACAATAACATTCATTCTGAACATTAAGTCTCTGATATATATTTTATGCACAACTTGCCGCCTTGCGTTTTATTTGAAGTGTTCATTTGCTAAAAACCGATAAACGCCACTTTAAAAAAAATGAGCTGATTGCCGTGCATTATTCTCCACATTTAGCGTGATCTGAACCCTAAACACGTTTTGTCAAAAAAGCCGGTTTTGTCCACTTTCAAGGGATCACGAGTTCATGTTTTACTGCAGAAGCCGACAAGCGCCCTTGTTGTTTTCGAACAGAAGCCGATAAGTCCATTTTAGCGAATCAGCGCGCTGTATTCAGGTCAGGTGACAAGGCTACTTTCACTTTGAAAAGACGTGCTAGCTGAGAGGAGTTTCGTCAAAGCTGACTAAAAGTGATCGA